TGACTTTATTCTCTTCCAAAAAAAAAAAGTAGTAAGAACTAAGAAGTAATAAAACCCAAAATGTGTAAATTTTGTTGTACAAAAGAGAGGGAAAAAAAGTGCTCTAAAGGATACAACTGCAAGTGTGTTTAGGGGTGTTAAATAGCTGACCATATTAATGTTTTTGGTTGGATCATTGAACACAACTGTTTGCAGTCTCTCTGTTTGAATGTTCACTTTGTATGCTTTGATACTATGACTTGGGCAACTATCTCTAAGATGATAATGTGTAATCTATTAACTGGTGATTTCTTACTGTTTTTTTTTTTTTTTTTTTGTAGTTCTGTATTACTTGTATCCTTACACCGCTTGGTTTTGTTTTGTTTTGTTCTCTTTTTCCTTTTAAATAACATTTTTTAAAAAAGGTAAAAAAAAGGAAAAAGAATAGAAATACTGATTTTGTAAATAAGCTTAGAAAGAGATGTTGAACAGAGGGGAGGGGAATGGAAGAAAATAAGAATCAAGATATATCATGTACCTAAATTCCATATGATGAATGTGATCATTATGTCTGTCTAAATATACCAATAAACAATTAAAATGAGTGTTTTGTATGTATATATCTTATGTTACATAGTCTCAGAATAAAAAGCACCTCAAAGAAATTGGATTCCTCAACAACATTAGTATTAGTAATGTCTACATTATTATTTGGCAACAATTATATCAATAGAACATGCTATCTTGGTTGTAGAACAAGGGAATCTAGTTTAATATGATTCTCAGACGTATGAATGCACTTGCTCTTCAAAATTCATCTGAAGTTCAGAATTCCATATTCAGAGTCTTTTCATATCATTCAAGATATGCACATAACAGTCAAAAATTTGCGTCTCTAACACAGACCTTTTTACCTGAGATGGAGCACAGCAGAGCTCTAACATTCTTGTTTCCACTGTTCTTCTATAAACAACTCTTTTCTACCACCTCTTACTACCACACTTTTCATCCTTTTTTCCCTTCTCTTGGTAGTTTCACTGTTTAAAACGGTCTGCTGTACAGTATAGATATGCTTTTAGTAATCTTAAATGCATGAAAACACCATGCAAGTGTGAGTTTAATACTATTTAAAGGGTTTACTGTTAATGAAGCAACAATATTTTTTCATAAAATTTTTACATAAAAATGAAGTTAAATTTTAGTTTTTCAATGCAATATTGTATTTAGTGACTCCAAAAGGATGTACTCTTATATTTTTCTTAGGAGCAATTATTCAATATTTGTTAATTATATATTTTCAGCAACTTCATAGAGAATGGAAAATGTTAATTATTATAAATAATAATGGAGTGACATTACAAAACTTTTTAGCCCAACTTGATGTCACATTCTTATAATCCAATATAGTCAGGAAGGTTGAAATTTCAAGACCAACCTGAACAATTTAGGGATTTAGGGGTTTAACAAAATCCTGCTTCAAAATAAAAATTAAAAATGCCTGAATGATGTAGCTCACTGTAAGCTCTGAATTCAGTCTTTATAACCTGCTCTATACTGAGATACATAGTCATCACTATTCATCATCTAAATGCAATTAATTATTTTTATATTTTTTTCATCCTATGATGACTAAAGGAAAACAATTGAGACAGTAGAAAAAGTCACTGCAACGTAAGTCTTGAAGCAAAGCAATCCCAAACTTTTATTAAACCCTTCCTTGTTTTTCAATTATTCATCCTTAAAATTGCCACTGTAACGAGTGTGATTGTTCATAAGCCATTTTTAGATATTCAATTTGTAAAGGCTGACTCCAGATTTAAAATGCACCTCGTTTTAATTTATCATTGTTTATAGATTTTTTACTGAATTATAAAATTATAAGTTTTTTCAACACTTTGACAGTGCACAATAGTTTGTTGTGAGGATATTCATCTGCCTTACTCTATACTTTAAAATCTGTTTTTAGATCTAAAAATACCAGTTAGATCTAATTAATATTTCATTTGTGCATCATATTTTCTTCTTTCTGTACCTACAGTTTTATATTTTATTTACTTTAATGGACAGTAGCTAATAAACTTTGGCACTCAAACATAATAAAATATGAAAGAATATTCACACCATATAGAGCAAATAATCTTTTTTGTCACAAAATACTAAAGTGAAGTCCTTTCAGTTGAATAATTAACTGAATACAAAGTCCTATTTATTTTCATCTTAACAAATATATTACTTCTTCTTTGATGCTTGGGTTTGTGGAATTGTAGAACGTCATCTGAATATTCAGTGTGATTTTATTTGTAAGGTTAATTTAACTGTCATTAATGATAAAGTGCTGTGATGTGTTCCTTTGCTTTTTTTTTTTGTTTGTTTGTTTTGTTTTGTTTTTTTGTTTTTTGATTATTCTACTTGTGAAAGAATTTCCCCGCTGGGCTCCAGAAAGCAAAACAAAGCAACTTAAGATAAAAGAAGATTGTCTCCATTAATTGAAGTTGCTAAGATCCTACACATAGCACACCTTTATTTCTCTAATTTCCCCTTCTTCTCCTCAACTCTCTTCCTTGTTCTCTTGGACTACTTCCCCTACAAGAGTAAAAAAATAAGCAAAAAAGGAATGTGTCAATTTAATTTATACTTTCACGAAACATAACATTTGCATTTTTACTAAAACATTTGTAATTTCAAAATCAATAGTTATGGCATTTTGGTAATCATTGGAAAATATGTAAATGCCAGCAAAAATTGCTGTTAGTTAATAAAAGTAGTCATTAGTCATTTTTCTATGACTAGAAATCATTCATTAAAATGAAATAATTTCTAGGATACAAGGTAACAAACTTATTAAGGCTATGAGAAAAATAAGCTTATGAAGATCCTGTAAATATCATATATGCATATATATATATATATATATATATATATATATATATATATACTAATGTACCCAATTTGGCGAATACAAAATTGGATAAGTGTATTTTTGCTCAAAGAAGTGAACTTGTTCTTTAAGAGACTAGTAAATAGGGGTAAAAGTTATAATATATCAATATTTATAGTTAAGCCCATTTATGAATTAATTCTAAACAAAATTACACTCTTGACAGTCTCATTATACACTGAAAGTTAAGCCAAAAAAAGTTAATACAAATTTTTCAAGAGGTACATCAGTACTTTAATTTTATATTTTGCATTATTATATTAGTACACATTTATGATTTATTGCCTTTTTTATACTTAAAGCTCAAATGTCAAATTTTATCTAGTGTAAAAGGCACAAAAGCAATAAAAATAATAGAACTTCAAATATCTGTTAGTATATCCAGGACCTAGTGTCTGCTCTCTAAATGTCATTTCCTAAGAATATGTCCAGCATTTTATAATAAATGTTGATTTTAGGTTTTTGACAGAACATATACAACGTGAGCCATATAGATCAGTTTGTGTCAAAGAGTCCTGTGAGCTAAGATGAAGGGATTTACCCAGATTTTACAAAGTGCAATATGTGCAAACTGAAAAAAGAAAAAAATCAATGCAGCATTTGCTTGAAAAATATTTAATATATAAATATTCACAAGGACAGTATAATTAGAAAAAATGTTCTAATTAGTATAATTAGAAAAAATGTTCACTATTGTCATTTTGTAATCCATAGTTAACTATCTAATCATTTTTATTTGGAATCATTCTCTTAATCTAGGTTTCTATTAAAAAAATTAAGAAGTGAGAACACAAAGAAAGATGTCCAAGAAAGAAAAGTAATTTTGGTCAGTTGCTCAGTTCTAGAGTCAAGAGCTTGTTTGGAAGATATTTAAGAACAACAACAACAAAAAAAACGAATAAGACGGATTGTATAGTTATACATATCCTATACTGGGTGGCATAACCAACCAATCAATGGGAAGAAAGTAAAAAAAGTTCTTTTTCATTGCTGCTTGAACATTCAAAGTTCAAAAAGAACTTTGAATTTGTACCTTGAGGTTTAGTTTTTAAAATTTAATTTCCTAATTCATATGTTGATGGTATCTGAGGGTAGTGACTTTGGGTGGTAATTAGAATTGGATGAGGTTCTGAGGCCCAGGGGCTCCGTGATGTGTTTAATTGCTTTGGATAAAGAGGAAGAGACCTTAGTTGTCATCCTCCTCACTTTCAAACTGTGAACCCTTTTCCTATATCATTACACAGAAAGAATGCTCTGAGACAGAGTCCAGGGATCCTGGACCTCCCAACCTCCAGAAAGGTGAGAAATAAATTTGTTTGTTAAAATAAGTTATAACATTCTGTTATAGCCATGGAAAAAATAACAGGTATTTATAGTTTTATCAAGTAATTGCAGAAATATTAGGATGTTTTTAGAAAATTTTAAAGTTAACATCCACGTGGGAACTGTGGATCTATCCTATGTTACTATAGAGAATGTAGCAACATTTACATGCATGATTAATGTCAAATTTATAATAGAGGTGAGTCTGTAATATCACCTATTTTGAGGCATACTAACATGGGCTGTCTCCTAGTGTGCTATAACAGGAATGACACAATGTCACTTGTAAGATAGTCTTTCTCTAAAACTGAACTTAATATTTAAGCATAAAATATCAACTTCCAGGAGAGTGGATAAAAGAATGATAAAGGATTCCATCAGAAATCAGCAAAATGGTAATAGGAACATTAGGTATGACAGATGCTCTGGTTTCGTCAGTGTATCAGTGATTTGAGAGAAAACAAGAAGAAAATCTTTACAGAATAAAAAGAGACAAGCTAACTAAAAAATCACTTTCTTTGGAATCTCACTTAAACACACTGGTGATATATTTTGAAAAATTTAAAGAAATATGACTATGATACTGCTGTTGATAATAAATTATTGAGTAATATTTTAATTGTAATTCATAGTCATGTACCAGAAACATAGGCACTATAAAGGACTTGCATATCAGAAAAAATAAGAAACATTCATGAGTGATGTGTTTTGAATTAGTTTCTAAACACAGAGTAGTAATTATAGTAATAATTGTAAGTGACTGGCCCTGAATCAAGGCTGGAAGCTCCCTGATGCTGTTGGTTTCAAGCAGGAATCTAAAGAGATGTCTTTCTATGGTCTGTTGGCCATTTCAGACCTCCGGCAGTGAAATGGTCAATTCCTTAGAAAGAAACACCTTGAGACACACACCCTCTCCCCCACGTGAGAGTCTGTGAACATGGCACGTTGTGGGGCCACAGGACAGGAGCCACTGGTGTTTACTGGGATGTGCACCATGCTGAGACCTGTAGCACTGGGAAACCCCACCCACACTTCCTGTTTTGTTTTATTGAACTTCAATATGCATGAAAGTACGGACACCTATTTTGAAGAGAATGAGAGATTCTACGACACCATTAGTGACTTCCCTATTGGCTGGTTTTGAAGACCTAAAACGCCTTCCACATTCTGTTTGGATCAGTTTTATACTATGTTGTTTTGTATGAATTCTCTGTATGCAAAGACATGGACAACTATTTGGAAGAAAACAAGAGACAACATGATAGTGAAGATCTCAGGTCATCTAGCTTTGAAAATTATCTCTTACATTACTTTTTTATGTCCTATGTTGTTCTGTTTTGTTGTGTTTAATTTTACCTCTTTTAAAATAAAAATAAAAATAAAATAATTGTAGGTGAAGAGATGAAGCACTTTGGTTACTTTTGACAATCTGTGATGAACAATTGAACATTATACCACCTAATTCTGTGTTTCTGAGAAGTCAATAAAAAGTTGAAACATTTGTAAAAATATTGCTTTTTGTTTTTAAACATTATCTTTTAGTTTTCTTAAAATGTAAGTAATCAGAATGTTTAGCTAAAAGCAATCTATTTTTTAACGTTATGTTTAACATTTTCAATATGATTCTTAATAGTTGGCATTCTATTTAATAGTTATATTATTTAGATATTATAAAATTTTAAAATGTAGGAACCTTATCTAATACTTTATAAAATAAACTTATTCTGAACAATCAGCTAATTTGCAAAGGTATTCTTCTAGCCATCCCTTCAATATGAAATTAGCATTCAAAGATTTCATAAACTAGCAATAGGATAATAAGCCCCAATGCTTTGTTTTGTGAAAACTAAAAGTATTTCCTAATATTGCTTTATGAGTCACCCATAATTTTGATCCACAGTAAGTCTACTAAACTCCTCTAACCTTGTCTGTTATTTTATCTCTAAATATTAATTGGCTCTGCGTCAATGATCACTGCTTTTGTTTTCTTTGCCACTATTGGGGAACGGGTGCCTCTCTATCAAAGTCTTCTTGCTTTTAGAAGTCTGTAGCAGACTCTTAATTACACATAGTACTCCTGAGATCAAGCTGTAAAAGTTTATAGGATTTAATGGAACCCTTAGGAAGAACAGATTGGAAATAATTACATAACCCGGAGAGTAACATAAACCTGCTACTAGATGTAGATATTTCACAGCCTTCTGGTCCAGACTCATACTTGAGTTCTGAGAGTACATTTCACTTTTGTTTCTTAACTCCTTACATGTAGCTTTATTTCACCATAAAAAATGAATAGTGTTTTGTTTAATTATATTTCTGCATTAGCTAGCAAATTTTTTCATTCTATTTATTCTACTTTAAATTATGCATACCAGTCTTCTCAAGCTTTTAAAATTAGTGTAATTTTTAAAATATATTTTTAATTTACTATCCATTGCTCTAACAATGCTTCTTAAGAAAGAATTGCAAAACAAAAGTTTAAACCAATGCCACTTTGTTATTATGAGTACAAATGTGTAGTTATACTGATCTATCCTGTTTGTCTAAGCTTGGCTGATTTCTCTGGGAACGATGTGGTCAGCTGGTAGATAATGTAGAAACAGATATTTCTAGGTTGGATTCTGCTGGGATCATTCTTAGGTGTTCCAACTAGTCTTTCACACAGCCCAAGACTGGCTATTAGGTCTGAGCCAGTCATGAATGGGAGAATCTGAATGTAGCTATGCTTGATGCTATGATAGATTTTTGCAAAGATAATTACAGGAACTTTTTTCCTTGCTGTATCTCTCTGTCTCTGTCTCTGTCTCTGTCTCTGTCTGTCTCTCTGTCTCTCTGTCTCTGTCTCTGTCTCTGTTCATGTGTGTGTGTGTGTGTGTGTGTTGAAAGTAAGGTCTTAATTGTGTTAAGCACAGATTCTATCACTGAGTTATGCCCACTAGCATATTATTTTGTCACTCTGCCCAGTAAGAGCTATTATCTATTTTTCTTGCATTTTATTAGTGTATTGCACCTAAAACAGTACAGTGCAATACACGGTGCCGTGTTTGAGACCCCGGTATTAGGACAATGGACTTCCTATTTTCTGCCTTTTGAGTACTGACTATTGAGTTATACACCTGCCATATAAGAAGTCCTGCCACCATACTAGACATAATGTTTGCAAAAGACATGAAAATATATAGAAAGAGGTGCCACTCTACTGCATAACTCAATAAGTAATGGATAGAAGGTTTCAGACCTTCAAGACCAGAGCAGCTTGTAGCAGAATCCCACTGAATGACCTAAGTTGTTGGCAAATGAAGACAATGTGCCTTATACCTGAGCCCATCTCAAATTTCTAGCCAAAATTTTATAACCATTAAAATTATTTTTTTTCTTTACACTCCTGTAATGGGTATTATTTTCTACTTTGCCACAGCATAACAATTGTTGTTCAAACTTTCTTCTCATTAGATGTTTTCTTTTCCATGTAACAACTATTTACTCCATCTAACAACTGTTGTATTTGCATTTGAATGTAAAAAGTATTACACTCAATTTTAAATTTTTGATATTTATATTTGATATATATTGCTTAATTTTAAATTATTTGAGAATTTTCCATTTATAATTCAGCTCCAGTATGTTTGGAGAATAATCTATAAAATATATAATATGTATGCATTTTAAATATTTGAAGTTATTGAGATTTAACTAATTGACTGACATATAACCAGTTTGGAAAATTTTTGAGGCATGCTTGAAAAACATGCCCTCTGCTCTTTTGGGGAGTAATATACTACATGTGTGATTTAGTTCAAGTATTTTAACATGCTTATTTCTTATATTGTGATACTGATTTTATTTGTATCCTCCATAAGTTTCTAGATAGGTATGATAAAATTTCTCAACATTACTGTGAGATTTTCTCTTTTTATTATTTGATATTGTATATATGTATGCTTATAATGCTTTTAGATATATGTTGGCTTGAGATTGCATATTCCTTTTGACTAATCATTTTGCCTTTCATTCCTTTTGTTACATTATTTTCCCCTAAAAATTTTTATTACATTTTGCTCTCTATTAGTTTAATAATTATTCCTCTTTGTAACAACTATAATCACATATGCTTTATTATTAACATAATTTTAAGGACCTTTTGTAAATATTCATATTTTAAAAACTTTGGATATATTTTTAGAATAAATACAAATACAAGTTTATTTTTTTTTTTATTTTTATTTTTATTTTTTGTCTTTTTCATTTTTATCGGTACCGGGGATCGAACTCACAACCGCCTGTTTGCAAGGCAGGTGCTTATGCTGCTGAGCTAAACCTCCAGCCCCCAAATATAAGTTTAAATTTACCTTGATATTTAATTTCTATTTGCTCATTGCTAGTGTTGCCATCATTTTTAATATTAATCTTTTAAATTTTGTTATAATTTATATTTTTTATGAAATTACATATTTCCATGCATATACTAGTTGTATATATATAGTAATACTAGTTATATATATATATATATATATATATATATATACTAAATTTTCAGTTGACTAGCCTCAAAATATGAGCAATCTGTGAATTTTTAATTTTCTAATTAAATGACTACTTCATTCAGTTTTAATTTTGAGAAGAGATAGTTATAATCCTCTAGAAGATAATATTTTATCTCCATTATGTTTTTGTTTTGTGCTTTGATTGAAAAGCAGTAGTACTATCCTTTATTCTGAATTTTATTATAGTATCATTATATTGTTTTACATTAAAAATTAGTTAATAATTTATGAGGATTTTTGCCACTGGGAATTGAAACCAGGGCCTTCACACTAAGATTCACCCCCACATCTTCAGCCCACTTCTTTCTTTGAGACAGGATAGCCTTCACCGTGTGACCCTCTGCATCAGCCTACCAGAGTACTGGGATTAGAAGCCTACACCAGCACACTCAGTTTAATTCACGGAACATTTTATCTAGATTTTTAGTGGTCTTTCTCTTTGGTGTCTTACTCTGTAATTTTCCTCTCAAGTCCTAATATCTGAGATCTTTATCTTCTATAAAGAAAAACTCATGGTTACCATATAGCTTACTTGCTCTGCCCTGAAGTCCTGCCTGCATTGGCTGTTAAGTTTATTGCTGTTTTATATGATACCAACTTTTATACTCATCTTAAAGCTATCTCTTCTGTAAAATGAGTCTCAATGATTACTAATACTAGATTGGAGGAATTGAATGGGTTGATACACGTGAGACACCTGAACAGTTCCCTGAACATAATTGTGGGGACTGACTTTAGGTACCCATTTGACTAAGCTAACGGATACCTAGATATCTGTAAAAACATCAAAAATATTGGTGAGAAAATTTCTAGAAGAGATTAGCATTTGAATGTGTGGATTTGGTGTATGCCCAAATAAAACAAAAAGAAGGAAGCATTCTTCCTAAAGTGGCATATCTATACTTTCCTGTCCTCAGACAGAAGTAGCTTTAGACACTTAGACTGGGATTTCCACCATTGGCTCCCCTAGATCTCAGGTCTTTGGGGTTGGATTGGTGCTGTACCACTGGCTCTTCTGGACCTCCAGCTTGCCAGGAGTAGCATGGTGGATCGTGGGAATTCTCATCCTCCATAATTGCATGAGTTAATACATCATAACCTTAATCTCATTTTCTTTCTCTCTGCACACACACACACACACACACACACACACACACACACACACACCTACCTCTTCAATTCTCCAGATCAATACTCCAGAGTCCATTTCTTAGGAAATGCTGAATGATATAATAAAATTGAAGTACTTAACTTTATGTTCCCACTTGACTGATCTAACAGTAAACTGTAAAAAGATTAAATATGTTGATGAGGAAATTAAATTACTGCTGTCTGTGATTTTTAATGGTTAAT